AGGGTTTCCTGCCTGAGCAGAGGGTTGGACTAGATGACCTCCAAGGTCCCTTCCAACTTTATCATCATCATCATTATTATTATATAGTACAACTCCCCTTCTTCTTTTTATAGACTTGTTTCTTTTGAACAATTTGTAACCCTCCATCAGTCCATTCCATTCATGGGTTTCGTCCCACCAGGTTTCTGTTATGCCAACTATGTCATACCCTCCCTCATGTACTATTGCTTCTAGTTTGCTCTGTTTGTTCCCCAAGCTTTGATCATTTGTATATAAGCATTTAAGACTTTCATGCCTGTCCATGGGTAAGTTTCCTGCATCTCCTGAGTTTTTCTTTTTGTCTCCTCACTGCCTAGCTCATTGTTTGATTTGTTTTCTTGGGATTTGTGATTGGTTTTATGTTCTAGAGATTCTAGAGATTGGTCACCCTTCCCCCTCAATTTTAATTTAAAGCCCTCCTGATGAGTAGGGCCAGTCTTTTTCCAAGTACATTTTTGTGAGGTGCAGCCCATCCCTTGCCAAGAGTCCTTCATGTAGGAAATGCAATCCATGATCCAGGAAACCAAAGTTTTCCTGGCGACACCAACCCTTTAGCCAATGGTTTATTTCTAAAATTCTTTCCCCCCTCAATGGGTGTTGGCCTTTCATTGAGAGTACTGATGAGAACACTACTTGTACTCCTAGCTTCTTAACTTTATTGCCTAGTTGTTTGTAACCTCTCACTATTGTACTCAGGTTGTTTGTTGTGTCATTTGTCACAATGTGGAAGAGGAGGAAGGGGTAGTAATCTGTAGGCCTAATTATTTTGGTTAGGTTCTCAGCCACATCTTTAATTTTTGCTCCAGGCAGACAACATACCTCCCTGGATTGCACGTCTGGTCTGCAGATGGATGATTCTGTTCCTTTGAGGATAGAATCTCCTATTACCCATACTCACCTTCCTTTTTTGTGGGGGTGCAGTCTGGGGTGCTTTTCTGTTTATCTCAGGTGTGTTTATTGATGTGGCTTTTTAAGGGATATTTGAAGTGACTTTTTAAGGGATATTTGAAGTTGTTTCTTTGCTAGGTGTCTGCATGCTTTCTTTGAGGGGGAGGTTGCGGGTCTGCGTGTTTCCATCTAAGAGGAGAAATTGATTGCTCAGTTTTAATGGAGCTGCTTCTGGTTGGGTAGGATTGGGTAGAAGGGGTTTGTTTGTTGTATGCTGTTTCTTTCGAGTATTTGTTTCCTTCTGTGTGTGACATACCTCCATTTGTCTTCCTCCAAGGATTTATGAGTGGGTCAAATCCTCTGGGAGTTATTTGTTCATTATTTGGTTCGGTTTGGGTGGAGCTTTCTTTTGTGATGTATGTAATGATGTAATGGAAGGACTGCTATTTTTTATGTATCCTGTGGACAATCCTGCCATTGGCCTTTATATTTTTTATAACTGCCTGGAATCCACAAAATGAGGAACTGGCAAGGGTTTGCACCAAATAAATAAACCAATGGAAAAGGTGTGTCCATGTCTCTGTGTGCACATGCTGATGCTTTATTTAGACTCAGTTTAATCATATCTCCATTATGATAGACACCAACTCTCTGGCTGTGTTAGCATCATATATTTAAGCCAGGACTGATGGTGACCTAATAGACATATTCATGCAAAATATGAAGTGTAACTATGGTTGATTTTTACTAGGTTTTTATGTCTTAATTTTTGTGTGTGAATGATTCATAAACTGAATCCCCCAAATGGCTTCATTTAGTAACATATTCACAACCATGCTGAATACACTTAGATTTTCTCCCTCCTTTTTTTAAAGGCTTGAGCTTTTTAAAAAATGAGTTTGTTTTTTTCCTAAGACTTCCATTTCCATTTAACTGTACTTTCCATTTGCCTAATGTTCAGCAGCTTGTTAGAAAGGATGGTGGAACTGTTAAAAATGGCACGTTATTCAGCCTTGTATTAAAGGGAAAAAACAGATATGATTAGAAAGGCTCCCATGTAGAAAATGAAGTTGACCCGTCCTCTGCGATGGAAAAGATGAATTCTCTGTTGCTCAAGAGGCCTGGAGCAAATCCAAGGAGTAGAAATTACAGGGAAAGTTATTTATTATGAAATAGCTCTTCGAAGTAAGATTCATAACAAATCAAATTGGTCACAGAAAGCGATAGGCTATTTCTTATTGGAGTTACTTATACAGAGCCTGTCTGTCAGGATTGCTGTAGTTGTAGAGTATTAAGCACTGAAGATAAGATATAGAATTCAGGATTGAGCTTGAGTATCCTTCCAACTCTGTTGTAACATAGCGCCTACGGAAAATATTTATCCCTCTGTACCAGGAGCATAACATGACAGATTCCCACCAAGGAGACAAGGAATCTATTTTCTAAACTCTACGTTGCCAGTCCCTGCAGGGCAGCTATATGGCTGTTGCTTCCTATATCTTTATTTTTCAAATCAGTTTTTTGATTTAAAATCTACCTGACTGTGATTGATGCAAAGGGAGCTGGGATAGGCTTACTACCTCTTGGAAAGAAAAGGGGTGAAATATTAAACAATGGGATTGAGTTCTAATGCAAGTCTATTTTTGTAAGTTTGCTAAGGACTTCATTTCTGTGCTGGGAATCAGATGAAAGGATTAATCCCAAACTCTTCCCAGAGCCAGTTTGGTCTAATTGTTAAGATACCAGGCTAGAAAATCAGGAGACTTGTCAGTTCTAGTCCTGCCTTGCACATGAAAGCTGTCTGGGTGACTTCGGGCCAGTCACTTTCTCTCAGCACAAATTCTCTCAAGGTTGTTGTTGTGGGGGAAAATAAGAGGAAGGAATGTTAGATTTGTTTGCTGCCTTGAGTTACTTTATAAAAAATAATATAGGTGGGATATAAATAAATACATGAATAAAATAATTGGATTGCCTAGTCAACTCAGGGTTGTGAAAAACTAAATTAAACTCTCTCTAATCCTACAACTGACTGGATTTTTCTACCCCATCCTATAGCCAGTTAAATATAGGCAAATAGAGCCTTTGTTGGGTTTGTTTATGTTGCCAAACCTGAATATGATTTGGCTTAGCATATGTTATATGAATCCTATCCTTGTGGTTCAAGATCTGAAGTTTATGACTTTAGTGCAATGTGTGGATCAGGTCAGCTAAGCTAGAAGTCACACAAAAGAGACAAACCTTTGATTCAAATTCAGACAATTTACAGGAATATTTGTGCAATTGTTTAGATAATTTTAGCCAGAAATACTGTACCATGTTATATTTCATTTATTTATTAGATTACATCCCACTTAGGTAATATATTCAGTGATTTCTTCTTCCATTTACCCCGAAAAATACAACTCTGAAAGTGGTAGGCCCACCATTTGTGTGTGTGTGTGTGTAAAATGAAAGTGTGAATCCAAAAGAACCCCTGAACGGTCTTATTTTCTGTGCTTCCCAAAGCAGCTGGTCCAGTGGTGGGATTCAGATATGTGAACAATCAATTCTCTGTGTGGATGCTACTTCCGGAAGTCTATTTTGGGTCTAGGCAACAAAAAATTAGCCACTGGTTCTGCTGAAGTGGTGCGAACTGGCTGAATCTCACCATTGAGCTGGTTCACCAGTATGAAAAAAATCATGTTGGACATGGAGGGCTTTTGTTTGGGCCCAGAAGATTCTTCTCATGTTTTGATTTTTTGTGTGTGTGGAAGAAGTATAGATTAAATTGTAAACATGAACTAGCCATTTTGCTTTCAGTTCCAGAAACTGAGAGTGAAGGGGTATCTTCCCTTTTTCTTGAATTGGAGCAACCTTGCCCACCTCCCCGAAAAACTTCGTGAGTATGACTTTGAAATGATAAGGAGTCACCATTAGAGAGAAAGAGGAATTATTTCAGAGGCAGGGGCTGGGTTGCATCAGGATCCCTTGTTCCTTCTGCTAGGAAGGGTATATTCTCTATCCTGCTGCAGTCCTTCAGAGCCCCTGAAGATTTATCATTGGTCTGTAAATTGTAATTTCCTGAGCAGCAACATTATCAAGAGAGCAATGTCTCAGTAAGACAGGATATTAGTAGAGATATTAAGATACTATAGTAGGACCTCATATTTCCTCCCAAGTCTTGAGAGGGAGCCTCTCTGAAAATTGCCACTGAATTCTAATTTTTAATGGGACACAAGAGAAAATTATTAAATACAAGTAATTTATGACTTAATATGCTGATTACAATCAAAAATAGTGGTAGTTGTTAACTGAAGCACTCGTGTGATTGCCTCTCTTAACAATCACAATTCCTGTTCTCCCAGTTGCAAGTGTTAAGTGCCTCGGGGTGGGGCAGACTCTGGGAGGCCTGGTGCAGGCCCAAGTCCAAGCCTGCATGGCAGCACCTCTCCAGTTCACAAGTGGCCTGCTGCTGATCTCTGAAGGTCTCCCCCACCCTCAGGCATCCCGTGCCCCACTTCCCATCCTACTGGATCCCACAGTCTTGGGCCTCCTCCCCCACTCCCACCCGTCATATCTCTGTCCACTTATCTTTGCTGAAGATCGCCTTTGGGAAGGAGAAGTAGCTGGTACACCACATGGCCTTCCTATGTGGAGGCCTTATGGTGCTGTTCTGGAAGTGGGGGCCATTTTGGCAGTGACCACAGCTCTTTGACTGAGGTTTCCAATATGCCTCTTATTCAAAACAGAGGCTATAGGTGAGCATGAAAAATAATATCCATACTTTACCATAATACTGTCCACTCCCCTAGATTTAGGAGGTTGGCTGGGGCAGGCAAAGTCCTATCTAAATCACTATCTTGTATCTTCAACAGCCAACTAGAGGCTTCTGAAAAAAGCACAAGCAGGCAATGAGAACAAGAGCTGCATTTCTATGTCAAACTGTCTCTGACATAGGAATGAGTCCTTCTGCTTTATCAAGAAGTACTTTCTCAGCTTCTCCTGAAGAGGGAAGCCGGATCAAAAGAGATGACTCTGAAGCATAACACTCTGTACTATTAATGGGCCCTTCAGCTGTCTTTCTCTCCACTTAGGCGTCAGTATCTGAAGAAGATCATTGCCGAATATGAAGCTTTGGACATGGAAATGCCTTGCATCCGCAAGTTTCCTCGGCCGCCTGCTGCCCGACCCCTTTGCCTTTGCTTGGAGAACCCGGTTAGTCCTGCTTCAGTGGGAGAAACAGACTCGGGGCCCTTTTAAGTTGTCTGAGAAGAGCTGAGCTCTGAGAGATAAAATCAGTTGCTATTTAATTTTTTCCCATATCCCAGAGAGAAGTTAGATATGGTGGCATTGTGAGAAATTCATCTTTTGTGGGCTGGCTGGGGCAATTAATTTATTTTTTTTTAAATAAGAGAAATCCCAGACAGATGTCATTGTTATACACAGCTGCGCATGAGGTCTGAGAGGGACACATAGACCCACCCAGAAGTGCTGTAATTTCAAAAATGATCAATTTTCCCCCATTCACTTGTATACTCAGACTTAATTCATGGCAACTATTCACTTCCATAACATGTGCTTATGAAAGTATAATTAATTGTGATCATAATGTGCAACCATAACATTATTATTTATTATTATTATTATTATTTATTGAATTTATATCCCGCCCTTCTCCTTACGGACTCAGGGCGGCTGACAATCAATTAAAAATACACCAATAACAATTACAAAATTAAAATTAGTTAAAAAGAAATATTTAAATGTTGTCTAATTAAAATATGATTAAAACCCCTCTAAAAATTGCCCTAGGCCAGTCCCGCTTGTTGGAATAGCCATGTCTTGAGGGCGCGGCGGAAGGAAGGGAGATCAGGGATCAC